ATCTACATATATAGTTTTGAAGGCATTAATTTCTCTGACATTGTTTACTGAAGTGATAAAGAAATAATGGTGGTTAAATATGTAAAAGAAAATAAAAGTAACAAATCAAAATTCATAAGGAAAATTCTGAGAATTCTTCCTCAAGAAAAATTATTCTCACCATGTTTCAAAGGTCAAACTTAAAGCTGAATCTATAAGTACTTATATTTTATAATATATGAGAATATCAAATTATTTTGGCTTTTACAAAAACTTATCAGTAATCTAATTGATACTTTCCAAAAGCAGACATATGCTATTTTGAGTTAGTGACCAGCAGATTAAACAAAACCTGATTGTTACTCGTAAAACACTGACTAAGGTCTCAATTAAATTGGAGTCTGAATTATATACTAAATAAAATGAAGTACAATCACCTTAAGCAGACAACATATGGAAAATATTTATAACAGATGCAGAAAACTCTACTTTTCTTAGGGATCAGTGTGTTAATGACTCATTATATAATTGTATTATAATAAAAGAGAAACATAAGCAGTAGTCTTCCTAGTACTCTGCAAAGATATAAGGAAAAAAATTGAAAATATTTCAGTTTAGATCTCTTTTATATGAAAGAAAAATCACTTTTGAAATAATAACTGGAATATTTTTTGATTTTTTATTGCTTTAAAAGATATAAAGAGAAGGATTATTGTTACATATGTCAAGTAAAGATCAAATTTCTTTTTGGACAATGTCATGCCTTCTCTAGCTCTCTCCCAGTTTTGAAATAAGTATTTATTATCCATGCCACATGGTGAAATTTTGAAGATTAAATGAGACAGGAGCAAAAACACCATAGGAGCCAGAGCCTGATTAGATAGTTCATACTCAGTGCAGTATTCACTATTATACTTATTACCACATTAATTAAATTTTTACTACTGAAATGTTGCTATGATTCTTATTTCTGAACTTTTACTAAGCATTTAAGCTATTGAATAAAAGAAGAGAGAAATCTAACCAGGATGTTATAGGATATGATAATTAAATAAAAACGCAACAGAGTTAAGAGTATCAGAATGATATTGCCTACCTAGTGATTGGTAAGTTTGTTCCCTGAAGTTCTTTGAAGGAGAAAAGATGTAAGATATTACTTGAGAAATGTTTGCCTTCCTTAGCAACAGACACACATACAGAAGATGGACAGGTGGTAAGAGAATTCTTATGAAATAAGCCATATAATCTATATTTTACTTCTTAATATCTTTAAATGTTTTAATGAACTATCTTTGTCCTTTCAATTTTTCAAAGCACTGTGATATAATCCATGATATCACGACATCATGACTGTGAGTTGCAATGCTACTTCTGACTCCACAACCAACGGTGGGTACCAGTAAATATTCACAATGACATTATCTCCATCATGACTGAAACTGAATTTGGAAAGGTAATCGCCCAATGGAGTTAGCATGTCCACCACAGAAAACAGGTCCAGGACAAACCAGCAGTCAGGGAAACAACCTTGACAGATAATGTTAACCATCTCAATACTCATGCAATAGTTTGTATATATTCTTCCTGTAAACTGACTCTCTTAATTTATATCTCACCTAGTGTATCCACAGGTAGTCATGGTGGCTCTGAAGCACATGTTTTCCATATGTTGATCAACTAAACAAAGCCAATGTGTGCCAGGCAAAACACCTAAAACATGATCAATTTCAGCACCTGCTAGTCAGAGGACTATGGAAGTATGGGAAATAGGATACCTCCTTGACAAATGCAACCGAGGAGAATTGTAGATGGCTGGAGACACAAGGCCTTGTTTGTGCCTATATCTTGTTCTTCAGCACAGGGTGCTCCTGCAGTGTGCCTGTAATAGTTTCAATGGGAGCAAACCCCAGGGAGTCAGACAGAGAGCTGGAGCCAGCAGGTCATTTCCTGTGCACCTAGTGTCTCAGAGCAGTCTCAAGCTGCCAAAAACAGCTTTGTCTTCTATGAATAAAATTAAAACAATTATTCGGTAATGTGAGCACAATTTCTATTGTTTATATCTGAAGTTATATTATGGAATTAATTTAGGTTTTATCACATTCATTGTAACAAGGTAGATAGTCATATCCATCACACATCATTATTGACAAGAAAACACTTAAAAAATCCATTCATTAATAAGTCTTGCCTTTATTATATTAATTATTATATTGTTGTATGGACTCCAGTCCTTATGTTAAACATTTATTGTCTAAATATTTAGTCTTTTTCTTTTTTAATTGTTAGTTTTAAATAGGTTTTTTATTGTAAAAATACTGTACACATGGGTTACAGTTACATGAGCAAGATTATGAATACATTTCTTATCAAGCATTGTTGCTTCCTCCATTGATTTTCCCCTACCATCCCCTCACTCCCACCTCCTCAACTACACTCACCCCAAGTCCCCCCCGCCCCCTCTCACCTAAATTGTAAAGTACATTTTTCAACATAGTTTCTTGTACATTTCATTGTTGAAATGGGTCAACCTGCATCCATATTTACATAATTTCTTTTTTCACTTCCCCTCCCCAAATTATACTAACATCAAATACAGTGAAAACAGGGGTTCTACTATAGGGGAAGGACATGCAAACCAACAAAAAAATCACATGGTACCTTATTAATATGTTAGAAACAATAGCAAGGAATATAAACACCACTTGTGTCCCTATCTTGGGGTTCATTTTGCTTAACATAATCTTATCTGACCTTTTCTGCTTGTCCCAGACATATATTACTATTGCAAATTAGGGAAACCATGGGACCTATGTTTCTTTGGGCCTGGCTTACTTCACTTAATATAATTTTTTCCAAGTCTTTCCATTTCCTAACAAATGGGGCGATGTCATTCTTTTTGATTGAGGCATAGAATTCCTTAATTGTCATGTTAAAGGTTATTTGGAGAGAGGTTATAATTATATATATCAAAGAAAGAATACATTTCTTTCAGCCAATGTTACAACTACCTTGCTTTCCGCTAGTCTTCTTTGCCATAATTATCCATAAGTTGTTTAGTTCATTTTCAACATAATGTCTAGTGAGTACCACTGCTGTATTTGTTCAGTCTTAGGCCCTCCATTTCTGTCCCTGTTCATAGCGCTTCCCCAACCCCCGCTTACACTACCAAAGAGAGATTCTTTAACTTCTTGAAAACTTTCTACCTGTGCATTTTTTTCATACCAATTGAACAGTTAAATTTGCTATGGTTATGTACTTATTAACAAAATAATTGACTTAAAACATTTCCTTGTTTTGTTTATTAGCAAAGGATCCATCAATTCTGAGAAGCTGAGCCGATAAGGGATTTGGTAATTGGCAGAGTATTTCATTGCACCATCATTTGATTTTGACAAGGAGATGGAAGACATAGCAATGAAATATTTCACCTAACAAAAGAATTTGTATAATTGTGATGATTAACTGGTTGTTTTAGTGAGAGTATAATTCAAGATGCTGTTAGTATTCACAAACAATTAAACAATATTATGATGAATAAACCAATACAATTGCTTAATATATTTCATGAATATAATAGAATATTTTACAGTTATATTGTGCTTTTGTGTAAATTTTAGCAGTAAATTTTAAAACATGGAACAATACAGTGGCTCTATCACCTCAGTGGTTTAATAAGGAAAGGAATGTCCAATTGTAAGGATGAGAGAAAGTTCAGCATTCTGAAAGTGTTGATGCAGAATATAGCCACCAAGAACTGAGAGTAAAAACAGTAGCAAGGGAGGTGGGAAGATTCTGTATGGTTAGGGAAGGAGAGAGAGGGAAGAACATCTTTTCCAGGGGGATACAAAGCATGTGAGTGTTCCCCTGTCTTGGCATCTAAACTATTATCTCCATGAAAAAATAAAAAACAAAAAACAAAGCAAAACTACATCATCCATTTACTAGACCAATCAGAGTAAGCACAAGAAGTAAGGAACAAATAACACTGCCATCAGAGATGCTCTTTACTAGGAAAGAAATACCTAGGAAGCACTAATCATTGGTTCAGTATTTATTATGCAGCAAAGATTTAGAAAACTTAAAGCTTATCATACTTTTATTTAATCATTTCTGTTCCATTTCTCTCCCTCCTTTCTTTTCTTCTTTTCTATTGTGTCTATCCTTTCTTCCCTCTCTCCTCTTTCAGCCTTTGATTTTTTTCAGCCTTTGATTTTTTTTCCCATGTCATATTCTCCCTTTACTTCTCTCATTTTTATCTTGTTTTCTTTAGATCTTTCTTTGCAAATGTTCTCCCCAGAGTATCTGATCTGCCTTGGGACTTTGGATATCTCTACTTTAGCATCCCAAGTGCTGGGAGTTTAGAAAAGCCATGTAAATATCTAGCATTCCCGGCTCTAAATATTTAACTTTCAATCCTTCTTCCTCTATTTTCCTTCTTGCATTTCTCTTCGTTTTCAATTAGATCAGTTCCTTTTTGTCTTTTTTTTAATTTACTTTCTCGATTCTCTCCTCTAAAATGTTCCATTGCTGTTCAGGCAGGTGTCAGCTCAGCATTTTAGGAAAGTAAGAGTTGACACACTTTCAGCTAGAGTCCAGTGGCTGGAGTGCTTACAGCATCACCATCAGCAGCTAGGTGCTAGAATTTCAGGGTAGCACTTAACTCTGGTGAGTTAGTCATATTCTTAAGACACTCATCAGATGTTGGAGTCGTTAACACTTTTAAGAAAGAGCTTTGAATAAGGGAATGTTGAACATGAGTAAGTACAATAAGCAGCAGGAACAGTAAAAGATTAATAGGAGCTCCTATACAGCAAAGAAAAGAAAAACAGCAACACATCTTTCCCAGGGGCTTGCTAGCCTTTTCCAGTAGGTAGGCCTCTTTAAAGCCCCATTCTCAGATCTCAGGTTTCCCATGCTAAGCAGACTCCACCGGAGTATGCGTCGCATTCTTCAATGAAATTGGTCTACATCTTTGTTTTGCTGAGTCTTTACTATGTTTGTGATTTAGTATGATCCTGGATTCATAGACTGAAATCCATGATCTTCACAAATTCCGACGGTTCAATTACATCTAGAATCTCCTCTAGTTCATTTAAGAACATTACTTCTTTTGGACTGTGAGTCTTTGGCCAGGATTTGAGAAGTGCCATTACCAATGGCTCGGTGAGGGTGCTGTCCTTTTCTAAAAACTGCACGACACAGTATGCCAGCTGGGGATGGTAGACACTCAGGGATTTCACTTTGTGCAAAGGTAGTAACACCTTCAATAAGAAAATCTTGTGCTCTTCTTTGAGTGGTAAGGCAAATCCATTAATTATGCTTCCCAATATTTCCAGTAATTCTGCTATGCCATTATGATGCTCTGTTTCATAAATAAACCTATAAAATATATTATTTATCTGTTTTCGGATGTAAGCTCTCAGGCCTAAGAACTTTCCATAGATTCTGTGAAGGATTGTTTTTAGAAAATCTCTCTCCCGAGGATCCTCGCTGTCAAAGAGCTCTAAAAGCTGCAGTACAAACTTATGGTCAATATATTTCTTTGCGATATTAGGCTGGAAATCTGGAGACTCTAAAAATCTTAAGAAAAATTCATAAACAAGCTGAAAATGAGGCCAGGCTGCTTCTCACGTTGGCTCATCCTCCTCTGGATGGAATTCTGCTCCCGTACGATTGGAGGAGGGTGGCAAGGTCCGAAACACGTTAACTGCAAACATATGGACTACTTCCGGGTAAATGGGCTCTGTGATCACATTCCGATTATGGGTGATATATTCGACCATTTCACTTAAAGCAGCTCGTTTTACTTCCTTCCACTTTAGGTCACTCAGTGTGTCAGAAACAAAGTCAAAGAGGACACAACACTGACATAACTTCTGGATAAAAAGCTTCTCTTGATCTGCAGGAGGAACATCTCGAATGTGGAGAAGGGCCACGAGCTGGAAAGGCCCATTGGAGCTGGCCGCATCCACCACCATCCCGCTGCCAGCCTTATTACCAGTTCTAAGTATATTTTTGATAGGAGGTCCTTGTCTGTTGTGTGACTAGTGAAGATCTTCCCCAAACTGTGGGCTTTCTTTTTCTTTTTTCTTTTTCTTTCTGTTTTTTTGTTTTGTTTTGGTCATGGGGCTTGAACATACAAGATATGAATAAGCTAAAGCAATTAATGACCACTGCATTCATTGTAGAAGATAGTTAAAGGAACAATACATAAAAATAGGAAGAAAAATTATCTCGGATACAGAAATCTAAGAAATAACAAACTTCAAAAGAGACCTGGACCAATACTTGAAAATAGCAACAATATCTCATAGGACTGTTACAGCAAAGCAGCACAATCTAATGATGAATATTGGTAAAGCAAAGAAAAAATAGTATAATAACCTGGAAACAAAGAAACAAATAATAGTACTACAGGAAAAAAATACTAGCAGTTGTCTATCATAACCCTAGATGTAAATGGACTTAATCTGAAAAGACACAAATTGTCTGATTTCATAAAAAGCAGGATGTCACAATTTATTTTCTCTAAGAAACACACCTCATCACCAAGACACAGACTAAACTAATAGAATTGGAAGATATATCAAGCAAGCACAAATCAAATCAGGCAGATGTGGCTATATTCATACTAGAGAAAACATATTTCAACTCAAAACTCACAAAGCACACTATAAATTAATAAGTGAAACAATACATCAAAACTATAATGAATCTATCTACTATCAAAATAGGTATACTCAAATGAAAAATTAATATTACTGATAATAAATTATAATACCGGTTTAAGTAAAATAATAGTGGGTGGCATTAGCACTACAGCTTCCAACCATAGTTATCATATACAGACATTAAAATGTCAACAAAAATGTCTGAGCCGGGCACCGGTGGCTCACGCCTGTAATCCTAGCTACTCAGGAGACTGAGATCTGAGGATCATGGTTCAAAGCCAGTCCAGGCAGGAAAGTCTGTGAGACTCTTATCTCCAATAAACCACTAGAAAACCAGAAGTGGTATTGTGGCTCAAGTGGTAGAGTGCTCACCTTGAGCTGAAGAATGCAGGGACAGCGCCCAAGCCCAGAGTTCAAGTCCCACTACCGACCAAAAAATCTGAGAACTAAGAAATGCCAGTGATGAAATAGGTATCACAGACATCTCTAGAATATTGCTGCTCCACAACAAAACATTCTACATTCTTTTCAACATCCCACTGGACTTTCTCTAAATATATCATATCTTAGTCTGTAAAGCAGGTGTTATCATATAAAAAATCATCAAAATAGTTTTATATTCCCTAAAGGACCATGATAAAATAGTGTTATACCTAATTGGGGGAAGAAAAATCCACAAAAATTTCTTCAATGCATGCTGAACAACTTTCACTTAAATGATCAATGAGTCATTGAAGAGATTGGTGAAGAAATTTCAAAACTTCTAATTCAAATAAAAATGAGTAACATATAATTCCAGAATATGTGGGGTGCAGCAAATGCAGTACTGAGAGGAAAGTTCATAGTCATGAATGCCTACATCAGAAAGTCAGAGATCCTAAATAACAATGAAAACATTCCCAATAACCCTTAGAAAACTCCAAGGCTGCTTATTCAAAGAAAGCATAAAAAATAGGACTGGCATTAACATCATGGAGCTCAAAATAACTCTATAATGAATCAATAGAAGAATAGTTATTAGTTACAAAGCTAAACATTACTGAGAGATGTACCAAACTAGCCAAAAGAAAAAGAAGTTCCCACGTAATAAAATTAGAGCTAAGAAAGGAACTATGCAGAAGATGTTATGTTAATGAAAAAAAATTAGGGAATATTAAAATACTTATGGTGTAATAGGAAATCAAGAAGAAATAAATCAATTAATTATTTGACCTTAGTAATGCAACAAATTTGAACTAACAGGTATGAAAACCTGAATTAGATCTGTAATTATAAATGAAATGGAATAAATAATAAAAGGTGTCAAACAAACACTATTCCAGAAATGATTGGATTCATTAAAAAATTCTTCTTGATATTTAGAAAAGCATTAACATCAAAAGTTCTTCAAAGTATTCTAAGAAAAAAATCAAAATGGAAACTAGGCACCAGTGGCTCATGCCTGTAATCTGAGCTATTCAGAAGGCTGAGATCTGAGGATCGCAGTTCAATACCAGCCTGGCCAAGAAAGTCCATGAGATTCTTATCTCCAGTGGACCACCAGAAAACTGTAAGTGGCACTGTGGCTTAAGTAGTAGAGTGCTAGCCTTGAGCTGAATAGCTGAGAGACAACGCCCAGACCCAGACCAAAAAAAAAAAAAAAGAAAAGGAAAAAATCAAAATGGAAAAATCTATCAGTCTATGAATCCCATAGCATACTAAATCAAAAACCTCATAAAGACTCAACAAAACAAATATGTAGATCAATTTCATTGAAGAATATACATGTTTCATAGTGTGTACATATATATGTGCATATAAATGTGGATATATATCTATTCACTGATATCACTATTAAGCTTGAATTTAGCTCATTATGATTTCCTTCAATAACATTCAAGTCATTTGTTTTAAACTGATGATTCTTGTTTGGGTTTTTTTTTTTAAACTGTATTTTTTTGTCTTTTCTTTTTTGGTACTGGGGATTGAACCCAGGACATTGCACTTGCTAAGCAAGCGCTTTACCACTGAGCTACATACCAGCCCAAACTTTCATTCTTTTTTTTTTTTTTTGTCGGTCGTGGGGCTTGAACTCTGGGCCTGGGCGCTGTCCCTCAGCTCTTCAGCTCAAGGCTAGCGCTCTACCACTTGAGCTACAGCGCCACTTCCATTAAACTGATGATTCTTTGAAAGTACATGTTGTTTTGCTATTTCAATGTTACTGTGCATATTGTTTGGCATTCAAACATTGCTTGGGGGTTCTGATCACCTGTATTCTTTTAACTGATGCACTTTTAGTGTTCAGGAAAACAAAACAACAGTATAATGACTGTTTTGAGGTGCTCTTTCTCACCACTGTGACTCAGAATCCAAGACTTTTCCCAAGGTATCCAAGAACTAAATGCCAGCACTGCTAAGATTGAGGTAAACTCACTGGACTCCCTTGCAGATGGGTTGGTTCCCTTCTAAATTGCTGTCCCTGTGGAGGATTTTTTTCTTTGTGTACGGGAGAAGTTTTTGCTGTTGGGAGTTTTAGAACTTGTGAGACAAACAGATTCCAAACCCAACTCATCTCCACACACTAGTTTTGTACGTAGGCTAGAAAGCTTCTGAACTTTGGGCCACTGCTGAGTGAGATAGAGGCTTAGGAAAATGAAGAGTGCAGTGAACAGTTGCCCGGGATAGAAGGATGATGGCCCTGCTAGTCACTCTGCTTGCTCATCTCAGTGTTTACACACTCAGTGATTCACTCTTCTTGGATAGGATTGTAGAAGTTTCATGGAGTCCTGATTTAAATCCTCATCCCTGGTCCAAACACACAAGCATGCAGAATGTAGCAGGAGCACTCTGTGCTTTAGATCCTTTCTGTCCATTCATTCTCCTTGATGGAAGAAGCAGTTGGTCTCAAGTCATTTGTGGGATTAAGAGGCAGGTGCAATGCTCTGATTCACCAATCAGTCAACATGTGGTTCCAGAAGGGACACTCTGTACATCAATACTGAGCAGCTACAGGGTAAGTGATGTTTCTGTCTTACCTTCAAGCAGTGAGAATCACTCCTGGCCGGGGAAAGTACAACACCATGCAAGATGCACCCAGATGCCATGTTGGGATTCAAGCTGTGCTACATGTCTTTCTTGGTGGTATTTAATCTAATGTCTCATTTTGCTTCTAGCACCTAGCTGCTGATGGTGATACTGTAAGTACTCCAGCCGCTGGACTCTAGCTGAAAGTGTGTCAGCACTTAGTTTTCTAAAATGCCAAGCTGACACCTGCCTGAACAGCAATGGAACATTTTAGAGGAGAGAATCGAGATGGTAAATAAAAAAAACAAAGACAAAAAGACAAAAAGGACAAAGACATAAAGGAACTGATCTAATTGAAAACGAAGAGAAATGCAAGAAGGAAAATAGAGGAAGAAGGATGGAAATTTAAATATTTAGAGCCAGGAATAATAGATATTTATATGTCTTGTCTAAAATTGCAGCAACTTGGGAGGCTAAGGTAGAGAGATCATGAGTCTATGCCAGATCAGATACTCTGGGGAGAAGCTTTGCAAAGAAAAATCTAAAGAAAACAAGAGAAAAATAAGAGAAGTAAAGGGAGAATATGACATGGAAAGGAAGAGAAAAATCAAAGGCTGAAAGAAAGAGAATGAGAGAGGGAGGAAAGGACAAAGGCAATAGAAAAGAAGAAAAGGAAGGAGGGGGAGAAATGGAAGTGAAATGATTAAATTAAAACATGATAAGCTCTAAGATTTCTAAATCTCTGCTTCATAATTAATACTAGACCATTGATTAGTGGTTGCTAGGTATATCTTTCCTAGTAGGGGGCATCTATGATGGCAGTCTTATTTGTTGCTTACTTCTTGTGCTTATTCTGATTGGTCCATTAAATGGATGATGTGGGGGAGGGGGGTTGTTTGTTTTTTTTTCATGGAGATAATGGTTGAGATGCCAAGACAGAGGAACACTCACATGCTTCGTATCCCCCTGGAACAGATGTTCTTTCCTCTCTGTCCTTCTCTGACCATATAGAATCTTCCCACCTCCCTTGCTACTGTTTTCACTCTCAGTTCTACAGCGCTTAGTGACCATTATCTGCATCAACACTTTTAGAATGCTGAACTTTCTCTCATCCTTACAGTTGGATATTCCTTTCCTTACTAAACCACTGAGAAGATAGATCTGGAGAATTTTCCCATGTTTTAAATTTTACTGCTAAGATTTACACACGGACACACGTGTAACTGTAAAATATTATTCTATTATACTCATGAAATATATTAAGCAATTTTATTGATTTATTGCTCATAATAGTCTTTAATTGCTTGTGAATCCTAAC